CCCCCCCCCCCCCCCCCCCCCCCGCATTGAAATGTCATTTGTTCAGGCAAGGTCACAACATAAATTTGTTTTATAAGCTTGAGCATATATTACACACATTTGAAAAGTACATTCAATATTATTCTCAACACTCAGAACTCTGTATAGGCAGTGGTTTTCATCCAGTTTTCTCTGGCATTTGTTTCTTAGAAGTCTTTAATTTTGTGTTTTTCCCCATTCTCCTCCTCTCCCATAAAAAGAGTGATATCCCAACCCCCTCCTACATCTGCTTCACAAAGGCTCTCAAACTACAACCAAAATTATGTACTAAGGGAAAACTCCCACTCAAATTGATAGGTTCCAAATTCATTGTCTCGGCTATTTCAGACTAATTTTAGGTGTAAATAGCTCATTGACGGCATTTTTTCATGCAAAATAATGTGTTGTTTTTGATACTTTTAAACATTGCTGTGAACTTACGGTAAATGCACAGCCTAAGTTCTGATATAATTGAGTAAATTTCCCACTTTCCCCATTAAATGCACATTAACTTATGCATAATTGGCGATGAATCTGGTGCTCATTTGGAAAGGAGGAAGGTATTCTTTAGATGAGCTTGTGTTTTGAAGACTGTTATGAAAAGGAATTAGAAGTCAACATAGTGGCACTTCTGGTTTCCTTTTTTGGCCCCGCCACAGAAAAGATGGATGTAGTAAGAAAGTCGGAGAGAGAAAGAGAGTTCCAGGCAGAGGGAAGGGGAGCTAGTAGTCATCAGCTAAAAAAGAAGAAGAAAAGTGATTCTTTTTAAAGGGAAAAATTTTTTAATAGAATAAAAGTATTATATTTTTTAAAAAGTGATTAATTCTTACTTTCAATTGTAAGAATACAGGTACTAGCTGCAGAGCCTTTATTGTTGACAGCTTTACACATATACTCTCCTTCATCTTCTGGGAAAGTTTCTGGTAAATAAAGGCAGTAAGTTTCTCCTCTTTCGATATATTGATAGTCTTCTCCATCCTGCAATAATTCTCCTTCAAACCACCATGTAATTTCTGGTTTGGGTTCTCCTGTTACTTTAACTGTAAATCTAACAGGCTCACTATCTACAACCGATGTGTTTTTCAGAGGCTTCTTGAACCACGGAGCTCCTGACCTGCTTTGCTCTTCATCTTCAATAGTGGAGCCATTCATGATGCTACCCTCCTCTTCTTCCTCCTCTTCTCTTTTCTATATTAAAATAAATACATTCAAGTTGTCACTTTTAGTATAGCAGCATTTTCAGGACAGTGATTTAATCACAATCTTGGAGGTAAATAGGTTTTTTTGCCCTCAAAGTAAAGAGCATGTAAGTACAGTCGTGCACCACTTAACAACAGGGTACGTTTTGAGAACTGCATCATTACGTGATTTGGTCATTGTGCAAATATCATAGAATGCATTTACACAAACCTAGATGGTATAGCCTATTGCTTTTAAGCTACAAACTTGTTAGTGTACTGAATACCATAGGCAGTTGTAATAGGATTTGAATATGTAAACATCTAAACAAAAGTTACAGTAAAAATAACAAATGTTTACAAAACATTCCAGTGACTTATTAAAATGGTTTTTTACCCCTCATATAAAACTATGGCTTTTAAGAGCATCTTTGGAAAATAAAGGCTATGTTTGTCTGGTACCTTCTGTAGTGCTGCATCAATTTCCTTTTGTTCAAACTGCATTCGTAGTAACTTTTGTTCTTCAATTCTTCTTTGTTCTTCTTCTTCTCTTGCCTTAGCCATTTGTTCAAATCTAGCTTTCATATTCACTTTATGAGTAAACGGAGCCTCACTTTTTTTTGCAGGCTTGACATCAACATCTTCTTCCTTTACAAAAGTGGGCCAAGAATAAGTGTGGCTTGTTTTCCAAAAACCAAGAACTAAGTATTAATAGTCCTGAAGTTGTCATTTATAATAGGCACAAAATGATTAACATTTGTATACATATTTGTGCTACACTATAGACAGCAGTTTTCACAATACCTTAGTTTGGGAAAGATGAAATTTTTGTTTGTGAAACGTTCTCTTAACAAATGGAATCCTTTTCTCCCAATGTAAAGATCATACAGTATCAGTGGGATCCCAGTATCTTTATTTCCCCAACTGTCAGTGTTTGTTGACCATACTGAATAACAGTGGGGATACTACATATAACAAAATACTCCCATATTAACCAATTCATGATTTCCTTTGTCACCCTACTTAGTTAATAAGTGTCATTCCAATTAATTCCATCCAACAAATTTATTGATGGTCAAATGGCAGAGAAGAATGCAGGTAGAATAAATGGGAAAACAACTGAGGCAATGATGAATTTGGGGAAATCACTGAGGTGAAGAGTGGTGAGTCATCTATTTAGGGGTAAGAGTTGGGAACCATGGAAATAAAAATTGAGAGTAGTGTTTCAACTGTCAAATAGTATGTGTGAGCCAATAAAATCAAACTATAAGGCCATCATGCGATCACTGACAGCCTTAGTAGAGTGGGGTCATGTAGATACAGTTTATGGTTTCTAAAGTACTTCAGTCATACTTGACAGTTTTGAAACTAGGTTTTTTATGGGTCTGTCTAAAGCAGCAGTTCTCAACCTGTGGGTTGTGACCCCTTTGGCGGTCAAACGACCCTTTCACAGGGGTCGCCTAAGACCATCCTGCATATCAGATATTTACGATTCATAACAGCAACATTACAGTTATGAAGTAGCAACGAAAATAATTTTA